CTCTTTCTCTATGCTTCTCTCTTTGATCTCCTCTTTTTTTCTCGCGCGATTTCTACGGAAAATTTGCATTGCTCCGCTTGTTCGTTTGATCGCGCTACGAAGGGGTCCTTGACCGAACGCACGGCGATTCGAAAACGCTGACTACTCATAATAATGACGCTTGCTTGGTACGCGTGAGGGGATTGCTTGAGTAGCTGAATTGGTCGTCGTCGTCGTGGTCGTCGTTGTGTGTTTCACATTTGCGAAATGTTGTATGTAAAAGAAAATACTATAAATCTTTATTATTTCTTTTTCTTCTTATGCATAACCTTAACTAGCTAACATTGCGTAAACGGATTATCGAACTTAGACTTCACTGGTAAGTTTCAATAAATCTGTGATCGAATTATAGAGGGCTGAGAATAAATATGGGTAACAGAGTACGGATTAAGAGTAACGATTGGTATGAGTGCTGACCATTCTGATGGACACTGGATCCGACACTGTGTCCATTGGACTGGATCTCTGTTGCTGATGCGAGTAGCTCACTTCCATATCGATTTCATCCAATTCTTCTTCCTCCTCTTCGTGTGTATCCGATTCCTCTTCTTCTTCTCCTTCTCCCTCCTCTTCCTCCTCTTCCTCCTCCTCCTCCAACGATCCCCTCATCTGCCGACGATTTATTCGTTAACGCACGCTAAATTCATTCATTTGTTTACAACAAGCATGCAATAATATACAGATGACAACACTTATTTCTTATACACATTGCATTCGTATATTTATTTCTATCTTCGCAGTTGTTCACTGGTCCAACAGTCGGTAACAACGGTATTCGAAAATGAATAATTACTACGTAAGGTAACAAGTTCGAAGATTCAATTTTCTTCGAACAACTTATTATTCTCTTCGCGATACTTTTCTTAATAAATTAACATATTCGATCGTGAGAATCAATCGTTGAATAAAAGAAAGTATGTAAGGAGATGCAAGTTATATAAAACGAAAAGTGAGGTTAACTTACGTCACTGACCGTCTTGCCGATAGGGATGTGATCGTATCCTTGTATTCGAATGTGTTCCTTCTAAAAAGAAACAGAATATTCATTTAGGGATCATCGACGCGTTTAATGTTAACCGTTGAAGTATAGAAACCAGTGTTCGTGACGTTTACCCAAGCTTGGTGTTCTGCTTCGAGCGCAGCTACCTCACTTTCGTCATCGCACGGTTTGTCGGCGTTAAACCACAACGGATCGGTGGTCCTGGGTTGTAAATTTGGCCATAACGGCATAATAGACATTTTAAAACTCAATGTTACACACGATATTCGACGAAATTCCAGGGACCGACGATACAACTGCCAATTTACGAAAAGTATACAAACCACCCGCGCATGCGCGTAAACATTGGCGCGTATCGATTGTCATTCGAACGGTTTTGCTCCGAATACGAACAGAACACGTGTTTCTATTGCCACGAAATAGATGTAAATAGATAGAATTTATATTTTAATATCATTGGTTCACTTAAGTTAATGAAATAACAGACAACGTTCCCTGTACTTCTCGAATAATTGGAAAATATCGAACACGGATTACAGCTGTTCGAACACGTCCCGCCATCTGTCGATCGATTACAGACTCAATCCTACCACCGCACTAGTGTCACGTGTTTAATCGCGGCAAACCATTACGCCGAATCTTCGTTATTTTACATATCCACGGTGATGGAAGAAACCGAGAAAGTTGCGTGCAGTTTATTAATGGGTCTCTGAGAGGTTGCTCGTTCGTTCACGCGGAGGCATCTCTGCGAAAGTGACTTTTTCCATTTCTCGTAATCGCATTTGAGTAACTTCGCAAGACAAAGTGTTCTAGGCGTGACATAACCTCGACCCTTCCAGCAAAGGTGAGTGCATAATCTATCACGTTTTGCGCATCGGGCCAGAGGAATTCACGGCGAGATCACCGCGAGCAAACTAATTTCCGTTTGCGAGTTGTATCCGACAGTTTCCGTTGTCATACAGTCACCTCTGTGATTGGATTTGCACAGATTAAGCTCAAAGTCAACCGAGCGACCTACATTGACAGCTGCGTTCACGTTACTAGAATGCAGCGAGAAAGTACTATGTAACAGAACTTTCACCCACCGAGTGCGAGCTTCTCGCTTTTCGGAGATCGTTGAAACGTCAATAAATTTTCTTTCATCGTGGCAATTAACGGAAGGGCACGAGGATCACTCCGAGGCAAATAGAAGTCGATAGACCGTTTTCAGAAATACATTAGTATAAATGGCATATGTTACGGGTACACGACGCAGAGATAGTCGCGACCGATAAAAAGAGAATGTATCACGAAATTCTTCGTCCTTCGTGAAACGGAGCCGAACAGAAACCGTGAACGTGACTCCCGACGAAATAACTCATTGTTCCGCAAACATTCTCTCTCACAGCAATAATGAAACATGTACAGCTCGAGATTTACGCGTGACGGGTTCAACTGAAAAATCTCGGTGTCGACCCATCGCGCGTTAATCGCTATTCGAAACGAACCGTGATCGATTCAATTGAAACCAATATCTCTCTCTCTCCCGGCCACCCAATTTCACATTACCTAACGACACACTCGCAGCGTTCTCTGTTGCATGTTGGAAGCAATACATTTCCACGATCCGACCGACGAAAGCGTGCACAATGTTCGCGGGGAGCCTCCATTGTCTTCATTTTAACGAACGAACCGGCCCGTCGATTTGCAGCGATCGATCGATAATCGGTACATCCTCTTCCGGGAAAATCGCGAGGCGCATTCTTCCGCGTGAATTCCTGGTATTCCAATATACGGATTCCCGGCCGACAGAAAATTCTTGATGATGCCGTTAGACTTCTCGGAGCGTTCATTCGATTTCCTTAATCGTTTTCCTTAACGGACATACCCGAACGCTTTTCCTTCCTCGGTAAACGATAAACGCCTCGATTATCGCCGATCAACGAAACGATCGATCATCGATAGTTCGATCCACCGCAATTTCGACTGTCGGCCCATCGATCGACGGAACAATCGATCATCCTAGAATTTCAATATTCAAACACGGTTATCTATGTTAAACGTTCCTAGAATATTTGAAAATGCAGGAACCACATCGGCGCGACAGCAAAATTACGGTTAGCCGGTCCGATTAGTCCAGGCTGAAATTTCATTTAAAAACAACATCGTCATTCCGCGGGAACGTGTATCAAGGCAGATTTCCTGTTTTTCAACGGCGCCCCTCATCCGTATCATCAGCTCTAATCGTGTGCCGTTGACGCGGCGAAATTGTTAACGGCGAGTAACAGCGGCGCGTCGTCTGTTGCCATAAAAATCTGTTCCCTTCCCCGTGCCTCGCGCCGACCGTTTCCACGGTGGACATCCGATCGCCGGTTTCCAGAATTTCATCGGTGCCGTTCGCGTGCACGATTTCCGCGTTTACTTTGTCCGCGTCGCTCGGACAATGGTGTTTGTACGCCGCGCTCAAGGATGACGCGCCGAAAGGTGCAATTAAACGATACATACTAAGCGTCGTTTCTAAATACGTCCAATATTTCCGTTACTCCGTTGCTCGAGCGATCGGACAGGAAACGGACGGATAGGTTTCGCTGGATTCTACTGCGGTCGTTACTGCGGACACGTTAGATAAAATTAAACTTGACCCACGAGTTAAACGGATCGAGATAATTACCGACAATAACAATAACAATAATTGCCCGCGCCGCATGCTAAACAACTAAAACGAGCTTGCGACAGCACGACCGCCGATAGGCCGACCGCGTGCCCGGAAGTCGGTGTCTTCGGTATTTTTCCACCTTCGCGAATAAAATTCGTTATCAATTTTTATCGGAACCGCGTGCAAATAGTTCTGATTTTTCCAGGAAACGCTCTCGACGATAAGGTGACACTTGTCCGATTCGCACGCTTCCTGATGTCGGATTTTCCGTGCAATTCAGATGATGTTTTTTTCTCCTCGATTCGCGCCGCCCTTTGGAGAAGAGTCGCGACGCCGACTCTGCAGACCGCGGTTTTCCCTCGCGAAACGTATCGCGTGTCCGCGATAAGCGAGCACAATCGCGCGAAAACGTTTCGCTTCGCGCTATCTTCCCTTCGACTTCTCTTTATTGCCTCGGCAACGTGGACTGTTATCCTCGCGCCTAGTTTTACTAGGTGCACCACTTATTGCGCACGTTATTCCGCCATAGATCTCGGAAATTGGAGGCGTAAAGATAGCCAATTACACGATTGTGTAATTGCATCGATCGAAATTAACCCTCTGCAATCGGGAGGTGACTCTCAGTCGTTGGTCTGATACAGTGAAATTAGAAAGTTTGATGTTTAATACTAAACTTTGTACAACGCATCACTACGTGAAATATCAAAGTAAAATTATCCCTTAATTTATCGATTGAATTATTTCCGCAACAAGCATCGTCCAGGTTTTATCAAAGAGCATTGAATATTTCTAGGAAAAAACTTTCGTGTGCAAAGGGTTAAACTTCGAAGTCACACGTCAATATACCGGGTTAAATCGACTTATTCAATTTTTCATTGCAAAACGAACGACATTAAATAATTAATCAACTTAAACTTTCGTACACACAGGCGTTCACGTTCGACGTAATTGTAACTTGAAAGTTACAAAATATACTCGTTTCAATAAAATCATTGAAACTATTGAATACATTGTTAATTTATGTTCATACGTTGGTATTTATTAATTTACTGCATAAATTTTGTTATAATCACCAAACAAAATTCGACCCATAGAATTCTTAATAGCGATTAACGCGCGATGGGTCGAGATTTTTCAGTTGAACCCGTCACGCATAAATCTCGAGCTATTTAATTATTGCTGCGAGAGAATGCTTGCGAAACAATGAACAAGTGTGTTCGTCGAGAACACTGGATAAAACGGTCAATTACGTCTCTCGCTCGAATCGGTACGTTTTCCTTCCATTCCCTCGACGGAGACGTTCGAAATTCCGTTTCATCTTCCATCGAGCTTACGGGATCGCGAGGCGTTCGGATAACTCTCGCAGAGTTCTCGGCTCTCCTCGTTAGAAGCGATCCCGGCGAGGTCGGTTCGCGAGGGTAAACGGGCCGCGGCGTTGCGCGGACGATAGAAAGGAATGCTAGTCGCGCTACATCGGTCCGCTGAATCTATCCCCGAAGAAATCCGCTTTAGAAAGTACGCCGGGCCGCGCGTCTTTTTCTCTTTTTCTCTTTTTTCTTCCCTTCCTCTCTCCTGTTCGCTCTCCCTTTGTTCTCTCGGCCCGCCAGAGCGACAGTCATGAACTCGTTTCTTCTGCTACTACTATTCCAAACTCGTTCACGGCTAGCCTGGCAGACTGCCGAAGGAGAACGAGTGACTCCACGAAATCCACGCTGTTAATTAACCCCTCGACCGTGCCGAACCGTGCCGAACCGCGGTGCCCTTACTTTCGACCGAGATCGAACGCGACGAACGTTTTTCTCCCCTTCCCATCGGTTACCTGTGTCGTCATCCTCCTCCGACAGTGTGTACCCAACTTGTGCATTCAGTTTTCTCCGCTCGCTTCGCCTTTGTTTCGAAACGTCAAATCCTGCGAGTGTCCGCTGGAATTCTCATTGTAACGGTGACCACTTTTTACGCGAGAGGAGTACATCCGTCGTACGCCGCGCGATCGAGTCGCCGCAGGCCTCCAGCGAGGATTGCGATCTTTCGTTAATCGTGCTTTCCTGTTGAAAGATTCGTTGTTTCCCGCGATTGATATTCGACGAGCCTCCGGCCGAGGATCCGCGCAACAGGTGTCCGCGGGCGGAATTCCGTTGCGCGTTCCCCGCAAAAAAGGAGAAAGCACGCGATCGGCGGGGGGAAAAAAGCCGTTTCGCCGTTACAAATGTAACGCGCTAGTTTTTATCATATCCGAGCTGCTTCCCTCGCTTATTGCCGTGCCAATAACGGCGGTATATACAGGACGCTCGGCAGAATTTCAGAAGCCTCCGGCCTCTGCGTCCCCGATAGCCGATTCGTATTGCTTCGACCTCCGAGCGGAACGATATATATCGCGTTCGGGAATTGAGGACGGAAGGAATGTTAATGCTTGTAGTGATAATGATTTGCCGCGGAACACGGAAACCGCGATAACGCGTTGACAGGTATCGTTCGCCGCGGATAGTGTGCGTTAAAAGCGCCCGGGGCGGTCGGTGTCGCGTCAGGTGTTGCTATGCCTTACCTATTGACCTGACGGCAAGTGACCGACGACTCCATCGACGCCTCAGACTGAAGAGTCTGTTAATTATTAATTATTAATTTGTTTAGACATTCCTCTCAAGCATGCCACTAAGAGATCTTGTTTAGTCCGACACAATCAAAAGCGTAAACAAGTTAGAGGAAGTCTCGGGGAGGCTGGGTCTCAGCAGACCCAGCCGTCGCCGAGGCATTAGAACGGTTCTACTAACTATAGAAATTCGCGATACATTCGTTGTTTATCTATGTTTCTCCTAATTCGTTGAATGTCTGCGCAGATGTCCCACGATCATATGTCTCACGACCACATGGCCCACATGATGAACACGTCGGGGATGCACGCGTCCCACGACGCCAACATGTCCCACGCTGGCATGGACCACTCGAGCATGCACGGCGGCATGGCGCACGAGGCGATGGGTCACGGCTCCATGTCCTCGGAAGTCGGTATGGATCACACCGGTCACACCGCCGCTTCGACCGCGGAAGCGTGTGCCAATATGGGGATGCACGGTATGTCGGTACGTATAAGTTGGCGAAGCAGACTAAATGGTACCGAGGTGCTAGCGGAAGGGAGAGGACAACCGGCGCGGAAAGAATTGCGAATTTCCTGGAGACACCAGCTATTCTGCTTCGCCAAATAATGGACGCTCAAAAGATGAAAATATGTGGACGATACGTGACGATGCTCGCATTCGCAGATGACATTCCACGGAGGATACTGCGAGAACGTGTTGTTCGAGTCTTGGAAGATCTCGTCGGTCGGCGGTCTGGTGGGATCCATGATCGGTATCATGATTATGGCCGCGCTGTACGAGGGCTTGAAGTATTATCGTGAATACCTGTTCTGGAAGACGTATAACGCTCTTCAGTATAGGAGCGTCACGATGCCGGCTGAGAAGAACGTCGTGGCCGAGGATAATCGGGTCGTACAGTAAGTCTCCAGATTCTGACGCGTACCGTTGATCCTCCATTATTCGTAATTTAGTTCCACATTGCGTTCGCTATTCATTGTTGAAACTTGGTTTTGTTTTTTTAGTACGGTTGGAGAAGTAATTCACAAACAGCCGTAAGTAGATGAACGAAATCTTGTTATTTTTTAATAATTTTTTTCTTTCTCTGACGATTGCGTACAGCTTGATTTTATTGGAACTGGATTTTCCTTTGAGATTTCATGAGTCCACTACTGTGTGTTTGCATGTGGAACATTCAACGCTTCCCTTTTATCTTTTAGGAACCAATCTTAACTTTCTTTCTTTCTTTCTATTTATCTTTCTTTCTTCCTTTTATTGAAACTAAATATACCGCTTACTTAATTTCTCTTGACGATTCTTTCTTGCTGTTTTTATATTATTGAATGGTGCAATGTTTATTATATTATGACGCGTATTATTTTAATTGATCGGAATTTGATTTCACATTAATTTGTTCCATATAAATTTGTGCAGGCCCACAATGTTGTCATGGATGCATACATTTCAAACGTTCCTACACATAGTGCAAATCGTCCTGTCATATTTTCTCATGCTGATCTTCATGACTTACAATGTCTGGTTGGGCTTTGCTGTAGTGTTTGGTGCAGCAATCGGTTACTTCTTATTCGGATGGAAAAAGTCTGTCATTGTAGATGTTACAGAACATTGTCATTAGTCATTTATATAAATACAATGTAACATTGTATTCTTATGTCAAGAATGTACATGTATGTACATTGTTGTACAGTTCGTATGGTAAAAGAAACTTTAGAAAAATGAATTACATGCAACAAGCATGTATAGAAAGTAAAAACGCTCCAAATTCAGGATGTTCATAGAAACATTATGGAGGACAAGTTTTTAGTTTAAGTTTATTCTTATGCATAGCTGTTTCATGCATACAGAATGCAATCTTCAGTTATTCATTAAAAAAGATAGTATGATTTAATGATTATCGAATAAAAGATATCTATAAAAGGCAAATTTGTATACAAAAATACTGGAAGATTGATCTTTGATAT